TAACAACTTTTCCCTTCAAGTGTGGCAATTTAAATACAAATAAAGAATTTCCTTTCATTCCAGAGAAACATTGGAGTTAAGCGGAGACTGGGGGAGAAAATTGAATGGCGGACTGTACGAGCTTATCAAGAGAGAGAAAGAGAGAGAGAAAGCGAGGTTGAAAGGGAGAAAGTGGGTGCTGTATTGTATCGTATCGTAAATTCGTAAATCCTACGCATGCATGAACCATCATGATGATGATACAAGTAGTAGCCGCGGAAGGGGTGGGGACATGGGGGCAATGTATCCATGAAATTGGAAATTTTTGGAAATTTTCACAGGAAATTTTGCTGGGTGATATGTAGCGAATTTGTCCCCACAGTCTTGTGGGATGGAAATATAAAAACATTACACGACCAACTCAACCCATAATTTAACAATTATATGGTAAAAGAGCAGTAGTATTGCCCTTCTAATCTAATTTAAGATACATAATTGATGAAATTTATAACTAGTGTCATTAAAATATTCAATTCAATTTGTGCCAATCAGCTATATTTTGAGTTTCCTAAATTTTCTTAAATTTTCATGAAAAATTTCAGATTACTGTTTTCAAATTACTATTTTTTCAAATGCTGGATTTTTACCGAAAAAAATTCGCAAGCTTGAAAATAGATAAGAAAACTTCTCGCTAGCGACTTTTGTATATAATATGTATGTCCCCACGGCTCACATTGTTTTCCGCGGCCACTGGATCCAACTATGTATATAGTGCCACGATTCAATGCAAATCCTCGTTCAGGGCTTACTTTTATTCTTAAAAGAGTAGGAAGAGAAGAGTTGGTGCTGATCTATCAGAAAATGTTAGCCCAACTTCCGCATCCCACTCTTCAAACTCGGTTGGTTTTTTACCTTATCTCCACGAGCAGGTGGTCACATGGGGGATATAAAACTGTGATGAAAATATGTGAAAAAATTTGTTCGATAAAATTAGTATAATGCGGAATATGTATGAAATGCTAAGAAATGGCAGAAACTTGATATTGGACAAATTGAATGGTTTAATTTGGGCCCGTATTCTTCCGGGACTTTACGTTCTCTGGGACAATTTTGTGTAATAGATATTGAAAGAAATCGGCATGAATTAAGAAGTGTTTTCTCCATGTTCAATATTGACCTTATTTTTTTGACCCATTTCACCCATGCTTCAAAATCAAACTAAAACCCACACCCTTATCAATAGATGGCGGATATGTATTTATGAAAAATAGCTGAAATATTTATTAATATTTACGAAATATGTAAAAAAAAACTATATATATTCTGAAATTTGCATTCCTGAATATAGTGCTGATATTTTTTCTAGTCTAATTTCTTTGACCAAAAATAACTTCGTCTCGTATGTTTGAAATATTTATAAAATATACATACCTATGTACTTTTGTATTTAAATATCTAAATAGTTACGCATTTTTCAAGTAATAGCGGAAGTATATTTAGATGACCGAACAACAGGAAATATGCAACAAAATGTTAAAATATTTTTAAATATTTGTGGTCTAATGGAGTTGTGGAACACACCCACAAAGTTTGACCATCAGTCGTTACCAAATGAAAAAATTGAAAGCAAATACATATCCGCACTCTGCTTATCATTCACACGGATTCGATAACCAAACGAATCAAGCCATGATGGACGACTCAATTTCAACGACCAAGCGAGTAATATATTTCAACTTTGGGCAGCAAATGTCCAATATCTAAATATAATAAATATTTTCCAAGAATGCCATCCTCGTAGGAGCAGAGACGTCATCTTTATAAAACGTCTCGTCTGTCCCAAAATTGGTCACGACGGATAATATTAAATAAAATTGTGCAGTTGTGGTCTGCTCGACTCTTGGCGAGGGTTTCATGGACTGATTTCGCCCACAAGAGTGAGTGGATGATAACGGAGATAGATCTTCAGAGAAAGGGCCTCCTAGGTTTTCTTTTCCATTTTCTTATGCTATACATTGAATTCGTCTACCACAGACCACAGAAAAGGACAAATATAATGCTAAACAACCAAAAATTCTTAAGCGAGGAACGGGTATAACTATGAGATTACGAGGAAAGCTCCATGACTCGAACAATTTTATCAGATTTTATTACAGATCCAATTTACTTATGAGGCCTTGTCTCCGCCTCCTACTTTTCCTCGTTTATTTTGAAGGACGACTTAAAAGGAGGGATGCATAGTTTTTCACGGCTAATTTTAAACTGATAATGGAGGTCTCGTAGCGTATGCGAACAGATTTTGGCGTAACTTATCTTAATCGAGTGCAAATTTAAGAAATACGAAATTTTCAAAAGACACGATCTGCAAATGCTTAGGTTTGGCAGAAATATTTGCATCCGAAGAGGAGAAAGCGCACCTTAAAGTTGACAAATTTCACACTTCCCAAATTTATTGAAGGTTTCTCCTCTTCGGATGCAAATATATCTACCGAACGTTCCCATTGGCAGATCGTTCCTGTTGCAAATTTCATACCTATTGGATTTTTGACCGATTGCCACTAATTTGCTCAAAATCGAAGATCATACGCTGGAAGACCTCCATCGTAAGTGAAAAGTTTCTACATTCTTTTCACCCCACCTTAGATCACCGATTTCCGTCGTCCCTCGTCACCAAGCTACATGCATACAACTCGCTGCTGGAAAAGCCTCTTTTTCCATTTTTTTCCTTGTTTTCTTATCTGCCCTGAAGCAATGCAAGATTCGTCCTACTTATGTATGCTCTTCTCCTCGTCGTCCTCTCACCAAACCAACCACACCACACACTTCTTCACTTTGCTTTCATCTCGACAAGGGCCCTCCAAATAATAAGATTTCAAATGCAAAACGGCAACGAAGAAGTGGGAGAAAAAGTGGTACGAGGGAAAAGTTATGGAGTCGTCGGAAAAGACAGGGAGAAAGCAGTGGCCACGGAAGGGTGGGGACAGAGGGGTAATGTTCCCACGGTTGTTCGATGTCCCCGTCATCTCCCCATGTTATATAAACCCCTCCCTCCCCTATCCTGCAATGTTAATGTCCCCACGGCTTCCGCGGCCACCGGGAGAAAGTAAGAGAGAGAGAAAGTATGGGTGGGTGGAAAGTTTGGGAGTGCTGGATCTCCAAATGTAAGAGAAAAGCTTGGTTAGTTTAGTTTATTAGTGACCTTGTCTTCTTCTCCGGAGTAGAAAAAAGTTTATTACGGCTACGCAAAGGAGACGAGTCAATTTTTGTCTGGTGCACGCATCCCGTTCCCCCAGACGTATTCAAAGATGTTCTTTCTCTTCATCATCATGAATGGGCGAGCATGTGCTTTGAAGTGGGTAACATAATTATTCAAAGTTCTCTCTCGAAAGTATAAACAAACCAAATTTGATTGTAAATTTACATTCTTGAACCATGAACTCGAGGGCTCGATGACTCATAATGAAACAATATCGTGAAAATTAAACACATTTTTGATTGTTTCTGGGAATTTATTTTAAAATTGTGGACGACAATTTTGTAGGAAGTAAGGTGATCGATGGAATGGAGGGAGGCTTTTAAGTTAATTGAGATGAGTTTCAATTTTTCTGAAAGATTCCTACACTTGAGATCCACCCCTCTAAAAAGCATCAAAATCCGGAGTGTATATTTCTTTACAAAATTATTACCTGCTCTACAAATTTGCCGTTCAGAATTTTAAAATAAATTTTAACAGTAGAAAAATGATCAAAAATGTGCTGATTTTGACGACTTTGTCGATTAGTCATTCAATCTTGCTTTAATCAAGGTTGGAAGAGGATATTCATACAGTTGAATTATTTGTGGGTGTCACCTCATTTGCATAAATCTCATTATGCCCATTTTCTACGATACGGGTTTCCCATGTTAGCTAAACTCTATATCGCTAATCCATCAATCCATGCAAAATGTAGGTGTCTAGCACAAATAATTCCACTCTACTTATGTAACAAATTGAGACATTTCCTTACAAAAATTTGCTAAAAATGTCTCCCAATTCATGCCAAACCAACATAGATAACCGCTCCTAGAGTTGACTATCTAGGTATGTAAATCATGCCGCAACAGGGACGCTAAAACCGCACACATAATTCCGGAAACAAGTCCAACTTCATTTATACCCAACCCAACCACAACCAACAACAACAAGTCCCAGGTGGATTGGGCAACTTTGATATGTCGTCTCTCTACCTCCTGTCACTTACATACGCGCTCTAATTTCGTGTCTCAAAAGTGGAAAGCTGATTTCAATAGACGGCCCATTATTGGGCACGCAAAATGTGAATGCGATGAGACAGAGTGAAACAGACCACTAATAAATTGCCGTCCGTCTCCCTGCCCACACACTTTCTCCTTATCAATCCATCTCCACCGCCTAAATACGTACACGGTGTGCACACAACAGGAAACCGCGTGTCCAGGTCGTCGTCGTTGAGAGAGAAAAATCCGAGAAGAGAATCTAATTTAATCTTCGGAGAAGAGAAGGAATCCTCGTCCGTGTTAAACTCCTACTTTCATCTGTCATTTAATTTCCGGAGGTGCTTGAATGAGAAGGACGTGTTCACGAGGAGGAAAAAAGGAGGCGATACGAGAACAACAGAAATGTGGAAAAATTAACCCATTCCAGATGGATTATCGGTATTTCGAAGGTAGAATTTTTTATTAGATGCGACTTATAATGGAGATCTCGTAGCGTATCCTGTCAGATTTTGAGCAAACTGGGGTCAACCAATCGCGGATTGAATTAGTGTGAAATTTGCAAACGACACGATCTCCCATTGGGTTTTGTATCCAAAGAGGAGAAAGTTCGCGGTAATTTTCTCCTCTTTGGACGCAAATGCCAAACCTGATAATTGTTAGATTGTGTGATGTACAAATTTCATATTAATCAAATTTGTCATTGATTCACACTAATTTGCACAAAATCGTAGAGCAACTGCTTTATTCCCTTAAAAAATAAAATCAAACTATCATCTCTCACTTACCTTTCAGCGGCATAAAGATATTAAGATATAAACAGTCTTCACTCTGATTCGTGAGAACCTTGGCCAACTCCAACACTCTGGTAAACTTGAGCAACGGCATTTTCGACAAAGCTTCTGAACGATTTCCCAAATCTGGTAATAGTTGCGGGCACACGGGCCCCATCTTGTCCGCCACACGGACCCCCGTCCATCTCGAGGGGGTCAACGGGGGCATAAATCGTAACGACGCGGCCGGCGCGGAGGCGTACGGCACACCCAAAAATGCCTCCACGTCCTTCACCAAACTCCCCACTTTGGGATACACGACGCCACGCAGCTCTCCATACGCCGTCTTCACCGTGCGTTGGCTGTAAAGAGAAACAAACAGGGTAAGGAAAACCCCGGGGTTTTGCTATTGAAAACCCATACCCAGGGGTTTTACCTGGGTTTTGGGGGTATTCGGGGTAGTCAGGGTTTTTAGGGGTAAACTGAGTCTGTGCCTCATGTATTAGGTTTTGAAAAAATCAGCTTTTTCAGTAATTTCTCATCATATTAATTTAATTTTCATAACTAATTACGTTTAGAATTATTAGTAATGCCCGGTTACAATACTTTATAAAATTTGAAAACCCCGACTACCCGTGGGTATTACTCAGATTTACCCCAAAACCCACTAAAACTCACAAACCCCATACCCCAAAATCCCGGGGTAGCAAACCCTGGAAAAAAATGAGTCGGGGAAACTGACCACCTGTCTTAAAAAACTCATCACCCAGCAGTGAAAGCTAATCGCCAAGCACCAAGTAACTAACCAACTTTCTCCTCCCGGGTGGGATTAGTAACCCGGGAGGATCAAAGTATTTATGAGGAGAAAGTTGCTTAATTTGTTTGTTTCTCAGATTAATACCTGTATTTGGGGACGCCTTGGTGCACCAGGGAGAAGAGGAGGATGACGAGGATGGCCAGATTGTAGGTGAAGATCCAGCCTCGTGGCACCCATCCCCCCGTGACACGAGGAGGAGACATCTTCTTACCACCACGTTGCCAGCATTAAAGTCGTCGTCGTCGTTGTTACACTTCCTTCCTCCCAGTTTTCGACATGTCACTCACTCACTTTCACGTTCACGTTCACTTTCCCTCAAGCCGGGTTAATTCTCGGCTGCTTTTCATTATTTCAGGGGGAGAAAAGTTTGCCGTTAATTGCTTTTCTTTACGAGAGAAACGAGGGATGAGGATCACGCCACGCGAGACAGAAGGTAGCTACACATACACTTTCTGCAATTATTCTCTTTGTTGTTTTCTTCCCCTTTAACCCCGCACTAACGAAGCTTAGCAGGAGAAAAGAGCGTTCCAAACAGAGTCGTCGTCGTCAGAACTGTACTTTTCTTTTTCTCCTTCTGCGGTTTGTTTAGCCTGGAAAAACAACAACTCTCAGAACGTGTCAAATCCACACATTTGTCCAATTGTGTCCATTTCCTTTACGGTCTGATCTCCCCTCGTCTGTCACTCAGCACAACGACAAGAAACGGTGCATGAAACAGTTTCCTTACTACTAAATAGAACAGTATATTTAGTTATTATTAGGGAGAGAAAGATGGTCTGGTAGGAAAGAAAAATATGTGAAGAATTCAATGCACTCGCTAAATTTCAATCACTCACTCCCACTAATTGCAAATATTTCTTCAAAGAAAGAAAGAAGGGGACCAAAAAAAAGTTGTGGACGAGTAGAACGACAACAACAACAAGTCAGTGGGGAAGAGAAAGTATCAAAAGTGTAGGATTCTTGATTAGATGCCAATGCCAATTTCACGGTGGCAGAGTTGTCTGGTCGTCTTCTTTCTGGCTTTCTTCTTTCTCCACAAGGAATGAATAGATCTCTTTTCTCCTTTGATTTGAGATTTTTTTTTCACGGAATTAACTTTTCTCGTGTGGTTTGGTCTGGTGAATGAGTGAGAGAGTGTTAAGTTAAGAAGAAGTGTGGGACGAGAAGATGAGACGATGGACGTCGTCGTCGTCGTCGTCGTCGTGGTGGTGGCAGGCCGAGAGCTAATTCGCAACTGAGAGAAAACGGGAAACGGAGCAGGGAAAGTTAGTCGTGCTTTCTCCACTGGTATGAATTTTACGCTGAGCAGGGCCGGAGAGAGGGTAGGATACGATACGATTCGAATTCTGGTCCCGCTCCGGCTCTGGGGAGTTGGACTGAGGAGTGGAAAAGTAAAGTGGCTTTTGGATAAAATTGTTGCAGAGATCGAATTTGTAATGGTTTCTGATTGCTGGCAGAGTGCTGAGCGGAATGGTGAATGAATGATGGGGAGAAAGTTTATGTTTGGAGATGATTTCAAATTGTTGTGGGGATGAGAGAGAGGATAATCTGAAAATTAGTAAAATATTTAATTAGGATTTAAATAATTTTCTACATTTAAAATTTTACGCGTGACAAAAACGCCGTAAATCGATTAAATATGTAATTAATTAGGGTTTAAGTTTTTCGAAAAATGTTACAAGCATACACATTTAAAATTTGCCGCTCGCACAAAAATGCCGCAAATCAATGGAATATTTAATTTTTACAATAGATGTTACGCACATTTAAAATTTGGCGATAACCAAAACGCCATAAATTAATGAAATGATGTATTTAATTATGATCAAATTTTTACGAAAGATGTTACATACACATTTGACGCCAACCCAAAAATGCCATCTCAGCCCGAAACTACTTTAAAAAATTGACTATCTGTACCAACGCGTCTGGAAGATCTCCGAATACATAAAATGCGTTAACACACACGTTCCATTTTTACCAACTGCTGGCTGTTTTGGAAAGGGCAGGAGCAACCTACTTTAAAAACCTGGGTGGACTGGACCTTTTTATCAGTTAGGATATTTCGCATCCAACCAAGCAGGCTTAAAACTTAAGCCGCTTTTTGCCACAGAGAGACTTGAACTGTATAAAGTACGTACGCGGAGGAGCAGTACTGCTGCTGCTGGTATCGAGTTAAGGAACCAGCAGCTGTCCTATAATGTGAAAACTATGGAGCCAATTTCCTCCTCCTGTTAGCTACTGGTAAAATGTATTCTTGATAACGTGCCAACTCTTCTTCTTCCTCTCCAACAATGCACACACACACACAACACGGGGTAGAGTTGGAGAAAGTGTAATGGTCATATTTCGATCCTCCTCATAGTCGTCGTCCTCCTTGTGGGTGATGGTGAAGCAGGGGTGGGCAAAATATATAGGATTTTTCAGCCCAGTTCTTCCCAGGGTTTAGATTTCTAAGGCTGTTACACCCACAAAAAGACGAGAATTTGCATGGGGAAGATATAATTTGTACGAAAATACAGAATTTTTAAAGAAATTAATGCTTTATCGCTGCCAAAATACACGCTTAGAAAACTGGTATTAAATCTGTACTGATTAAAGTACATGCATATATGACTCTGCCGGACTGGTAATAATCGGCAGTACCGTTTAGTAATGTTGTGGTCATGAAAAATTTACCACTCAGAAAAAACTACTACAAATCCGGTAGAAAGCTATTGCGGTGCATCGAAGTAAACGGGACAGAATTTCTACGCGCCAAAATCACGTGCCCATTTGATTAACATTGGAGGCGGGTTGAAATTCAAATCACATCTGTCCCGTTTACTTCGAGAATTCACAATATTACCAAATCACTTCGGGTACGGAGTATATACATACCTATGTTACTCTATCAGATTTTTAACAGTCTAAAATATTTTGACAGCGATGCAAAGTTAATTTCTTAAGAACACCAGCATTTTCGTATGAATGTTGCCTTCTTTATGTAAACTTTCCTCTTTTTGTGTGTTTCCTCAACCCTGGGACAATCCAAGCTCAAAATCCTGCCTTTTCACAAAGTATTTTGCCCACCTCTGCCCCTGCACCACACATGAATATGAGTGAACCACCCGCTATATGCAAAATTCTTTACAAAGTGGTGCAATGCACAGTCATTTTGGTGGGGAGAAAATGGAATTTTGTATGACACCGACAACCGAACAAATTTCTGCGGGTTATTGCATCCACATCGTGACGAGTAGGTAGCGATGAGAAAAATTGTGGTGAGATTTTCTTGGTTTTCTCTCGTTCCACGTGGATATGCAGGAATCAGGCCATGCACGCCACAATATCCCTTCATCGAACCCAATCCAGTCAGTTTTTGAATTGGAGTGGAAATGGATGCAATTTACAAATCGAAAGAAACACACAAAGACCAGAAGACCAGATTGTGATCCGCTCCAGAGCTCTTCCCGCTGTTGCAGTGTCCTCCACTTTCCACACAAGATTTAAATCTGCTCGGATCGTTTTCTTTCATAAATTTGAACAAAATTGACAGCCCGGTTGGGTACATGGAGCTATAAATGACCCCATTTTCCAGAAACCAATCCAACCGGAAAAGTCAGAATATACATGGTTTTCCCTCCCTCTCTGTTCCCAAATTATTGAAATATTTCTCCACATATGTCTAAAAATTATTCAATGAAACAACAAAAAGGTCAGAAACAGAAAGCACACCCAGAAAGTGGGGAATCATATATATAAATAAGTGCATATATAAACGGGTAATTGGAGGAGGGAGAAAGTCACAGTGTTTCGGATGAAAGTAACCACGTGCAAGAAATGATGGGAAGAAAGTGGATTTTTGTGGGTGTTTTGACCTGCAAGAAATGCACGAAACTACGCTCCGCTACTGTACTTCATACGGGACGTGGCTGGATGGCATGGCGCATATTTCTCGCACTTTCTCCCAGTTTCTTTCACCCCGCATTTCTTGCGTTTCACGCTTCGCAGTGCAAAAAATGTATTTAGCAAATAATGAAATAAATAAATAATAATTATAAATAATTAACAATGAAACACCTGCGGGACCAAAATGTTAACAAGATGTAATAATTTGTGAGAGAAATTGAAATTTTGTATTAAAAATAATATGAGTATGCATAAACCATCATTCTCATCGTCCATCTAAATAATTAAATTTTATTTCAAAATTTCTCAAAAAACTTGTAACGGCGTCCAAGTTCAGAGATGGAATTTATTTTTATCTAAAATTCGCAGCAAATCGTTACCAAAAAAATTGTACAATAGTTGGAATTAAATTAGAAATGAAATTGTACATATAATTTTAGGATTGAAATTTATTCCATTTTGACCTGAAAATTTTTGCTTTTCAGAGCAAGAAATGTAACAAACCCACAAAAAAACGAAACACTGGAGAAAGTATCCTGTTTCTTTTTTCGAAAATAAAGTCAAATCAAGAGTGAGTACGAAATTCGGAAATGTATACGTACGTCACCTCGAAGCAAAATAAGTATCCGTCGTTGGGAGAAAGTTCTCATTTAAAATTCACAAACTTTTTACCATTTCCTATCCATCCTTGTATGTATGTATGTACGATCGACCGTGCTGTGTGCCAACAGGCCTGGTCCAACTTTTAGGAGAGGAGAGGAAATAAAATAAAAGTAACGGGCTTCACGGAGGAGGGAAGAAATCTGAATATAAATCGTGATTCGAACTCCTAAAATTTATTTGCTCGTGGAAGCGCCGAGTGGCCAATTGCCAACATTACAATCAGCTGTGATGAGACGACCGAAAGGGAGAAGATGGAGGCAAACTCGGCCGATTAATCTTAATTGCAGGCAGTGCAAGTAAGTAAGTAAGCGTCGTCTGATGGTGATGATGGTCGTGGTGAAAGAGAGGAAATCTCGATTTGCTCCCAATTTACTGCGGTTCCACAATGTTTGCACGTTCTAAATAAAATGAGACCCAATTCTTGTAACGTAGATAACAGGCTGGGAAAAGAAGTCGGTTAGAATGTGGTGAAGTGCGAGTAATATGAAATAATTAATGTGCAACAGATCTGCAATTTAGTTTGGAAGTATGCTAAAATTGTAATTATTATAGGAGAGTAACTTTTTGTGATTGTGATTGCAGTTTTGATTGTAGTTGGATTCCCTAAAATATATTTACAATCAAAGTTACAGTCACAATCACAGAAAGTCATTCTTGCGCAATCTCTCTTATAAAAGTTGAGTAGGACTAATTTAATTTTTGAGATTGTGATTGTGATTGTAATTTTGATTGTAGTTGGATCCCCTAAAATATATTTACAATCAAAATTACAGTCATAATTACAAAAGGTTACTTTCGGGCAAACTTCTCTATGTAATATTTATTTAATCTATCAAATATTTTTGCTGTAGAAATTTTCAGTTTGTGTAATCCAAACAATTTAAACACCTAATTTCTAAATATGATAGAATCAGATTTTCAAATTCTCTAATACAAAATATAAAGCGAGTCATTATAATTTCCGTTTCATCTCAACTTTTCGCCGTCCCGTCAAGAATTACCACATTGCACGCCCCTGGAATACGAGAGGATTCATTCTCGCCCTAATAATTGTTTGTGTCTCTTGGTGGAAATCGAGCCACACATTTTTGCGGTGTGGTGATTCAATTTCCTTTGATTTTGATAAACTCACTTCCATCTGTTCCCTTCAGAAAGGGCGACGACGTAAAATAAAAGCTCGAGATTCTCATCTCATCTCTTCACGAAACCAAGCCAGGCACCAGCCAACCAACACACACTTCAGAATCCACAACACCATCGACGTGTGTATGTACTTACCACATCTTCTTCGCACAATTGATTCACAGTTCGTTCAAGAGCCACGTGAAACCCGAGTACAGCACAGAAAATAAAATTGCAATGCTGATCGTGGTAGAGTGAAAGTAAAGAAAAAAACATGAAAAAGCAGCAACGCTGCACATTTATCCGCCACACGGTTTCGTGAAAAGTATGGCAAAATTACCAAAGAGCGGTTATATATTTACGAAAAATAGCACAAATATATTTTTCAATATATACGAAAAAAATATTTGCAAAATAAGAATTTTAGCAAAACTTTTATTTGTGAAGGTAACATTTGAAGGCGATTTCTTTGAGCAAAAAACGTGCATCTCGTGTCGTTGAAATATTTACAAATATATATATTTTTGAAAAATGGCTGAAATATTTACATAACTTTTTTTTAAATAATAGCGGAAATATTTACAAAGATATTTTTTGGTCCGAAAACCAGGAAATATGAGGAAATATTTTGAAATTTTTGTCTCCTATGCGAGTTAGACTACACACCCACAAAGTTTCCCCGTCGGTCGTCATCAAACAAAAAAGCTACGAATAAATACACATCCGCCCTCTGAACATTACCGTCTCGCACACCCAGAAAGCAATCAAGGACTAATAACGCTAAATATAAATTAGAAATTGAGTCTAAAGATGCGATTTCTCGCGAATCTAGAGAGAAAATCTGGGAGACGTGGGCAGCCTGGACGAAACTG